ACCTACCTTACCTACCTACCTACCTACCTACCTACCTACCTACCTACCTACCTTACCTACCTTACCTACCTTACCTACCTTACCTACCTTACCTACCTAACCTACCTACCTACCTACCTACCTACCTACCTACCTACCTACCTACCAGTCCCTGCTTGAATGACTGGTGGGATTTGAATACAGGGAGCTAAGGTGGAGACAGTAATCTAGGTGAAGACTATGAATTTCAGAGCACTGTGTAGAATACTTTGCATGGGCTAAGTTACATGAGCTGTTTCTGTGGGATATCTTTTTTTCTGCCAAAACACATTAGGAAGGATATTAGGGTCACTAGACTTGCAAAGCCAAGGAAATCTCATGGCCAACACACATGCTAAGGTAATCAGCAGAGCCTGGAGCCTGTCCCTCGGCTGCTGGCTTGTTCCTGGAAGCCCAACGCAAGCTCAAGTATTTGGAGGTTTGTCATTCTGTTTCAGAAGTTAGGTCTACCTTTTTCAGGAGAAAGTAAAACTTCTACAAAAATGTTGGATGCAACTGGAGAAACTCACCTACTTCTCTTCCCTGGCTTTTAGCTATTTCTTTCTAGGTGGCTTTCTGGTTTTGACTTTCGTTGCTGTTTGTTTGCTCCAAAATGGTTTTGTTAGGTACAGTACTTTACAAATACATCTTGAGTTTCGACTATGTGCACAGCCTGTGTCAGATGCTGGGGTCTAGGGTAAGCCCATATCATCTTGGTGGCTGTGTGCCATGGAGTCGGTTCCGACTCATAGCGATACTGTACGGGGTTTCCGAGGCTGTAAATCTTTATGGGAGCAGAATGCCTCATCTTTCTCCCATGGAACAGCTGGTAGTTTCGAACTGCTGACCTTGCAGTTAACAGCCTGATTTGTAACCACTACGCTACCAGAGCACCCTGATATATTCTGGCCAGGGTGATGGCTAAGTCACATTCTTAAGGGGAATGCAGACCAGCATCAGAGAAAAAGGCAACACCTCTGCTATGGAGCATAATGAGGGGAGAGCACAGTTTCCACCTCAGGGCAAACAGAGCATCCCCATTAAGGGAGAGCGTCTTGTCCTGTTTTTCTTTGGCCTTACAAGAGACAGTCACATACAACTAGAAACAAAGTCAAACTAACCCAGATTCCTTCTCTTAATAGATTGAGCAAAGGCTTTTATGGATGTAAAGAGGGCTTTCCCCCCTTCCTCCTCTTTGTACAGCAATGTAATCTCCCCCTTGGTTTCTGGGCAGAAAGTTAACATTCCAACAAGATGTGCTTTAATTGATTGCAGCTATTAAATCCTTTGGCTCACACGCATATACTTCAGGATATAAGAACCACATGGAAATTTACATTTAATCATTAGTCTTTCTGTATGTAAGAAACTTGACAAAGGCAGAGGAGAGAGGAATAGTGAGGAGGTGGCACTTGGTTTGCATATAATAGGCCTTTGAGATTAAGGAGAATGAACTTTAATATATCTTTTGGTCCCTCTACATTTCAGATCAGCAGCTGGCTTCCAAATGGATTAGCAATGCATGCAGAGTCTAGCTATCCCAGGAGTACTGACAGGATTAGCAAAGCCACTTGCTTTGCATTCCCACCCCCAGAATGCTCTTTCTCACCATTAGCCTCCAATACCTATGTTTCCGCTATACTCTTCCCCAGCCCACTCTCCCATCAGAACTGCTGACTGCCAAACTTAGTGGTGAAGACTAAGCTTTTTCTTCTTTTTTCTCAGATGATAAGGATTTGAAAGCAAGTATGAGGGGGCTTCATAAAGTCTGTGGAAAAATGTCATGATCTTTTAGTTCCATTTTTCACGAACTTTTTTGAAACTCCCTCATATTTGTTCTCAAATCCTCATCATCTGAGATGATGCCTGGAACTTTTTGATAAGACATCATTTTAAATTGAATCATGGAATACTTCAGCATCAGGTTGTTTCAGGATTGTTTGGAGAAGACTGTGAATGTGTCTAGCTCTGCACACATAAGGCAGAAGTCTCCATAAAGAGAAGACACTCTTAAAGTGCTTGTTCTAGAGGAAAAATCAGTACCTTGGTGCTCCAAATGATTATAATGATTTAAAAAAAAAGATACCAGTATTGTGTATCTCAAATTTATTTTTTTGGGAGCAAATCCTCCAGTTACATGCCATCTTTGGTGGCCAATTTTGTCTGGAAGGAGTCAAAGGCAGAAACTTCCCTCCCCACTGTGCCACATGCATTGCAGGCCTAGGTCTGACTTAGCTCTACTTTGCAGGGAGTGGAGTATCAGCCAGTCCCACCAACACTCTACCCACTTCACTGCCTATTCCACTTGGCCAAACCTTGCTCTGGTCACTTACCTCACTCTCCTCAGCAGGGGGTGGAGGAACTTCCTTGATTATCTGGAAAGAAAAAAAAGAAGATTTGGTCAGTGCAAATCTCTGGCCACCTACTTTCTAAGAGGTTCACATTCAAGAGGTGCCTTTGTAGTGTGGCTAAGATTATCACAGCAGGGCAGGTGTAGCTGTAGCAGAGCTGGGCACACTAGATCAATTAGTTCCAGCTTGGTCTAGGCTGAAGGGTCCATTTTCAATTGTGTCTGTTGTAGCTTTGTATCAAGAAAAAATGTCCCATGGCTAACAGTTTCATTTCTTACTCTAGTAACTATCTTGTAAAGTTATTCATACAGTTATTCTTCTGTTTATTCAGGCATCAGATTATTCATCCATCCACGTATTTATCCATCCATCCATCTACCCATTCATCCTTCTAGACATTTAACAAATAATTGTTATTCAACATAAGTTAAAGGAGTCCTGGTGTGGCGCTGTAGGATAAGCACTGAACCTCAAGGTGGGCTGTTCAAACTCACCAGCCACTCCTCGGAAACCATATACAGGGTCTCTATGAGTTGGAACCAATTCAACAGTACTCAACAACAACAACAACAACACAAAGATGATTAAGAGTTCTGGTAGTGCAGTGGTTAATGACCTTCGCAGCTAATGGAAAGGTCAGCAGTTTGAACCCACCATCTACTCCATGGGAGAAAGATGTGGCAGTCTGCTCTGTAGATCTGCAGCCTTGAAAACACGATGGGGCAGTGCTACTCTGTCCTACAGGGTCACTATGAGCCAGAGGTGACTTAAGGACTCAAGGGTTTTGGGGCAAAGATGAGTGAGATGTGGACTACACTCAAGCCACTTGCAGTTCAGTTAATGGTTATTGGCCCCAGGGGGTACCCATAGAGGGAGAGTGTGTTGTCCAGGCTGACAAAATCGTGACAGAACAGCAGCTAAGGAGCAGTAACCAGGGATTAGTTTCAGAGAGAACACAGAAATAGCAAGTTTATAGTCTGCAACTGCCCCAGCAGTGGAGCTGAAGGGAGACATGTGGACATCCTGGGCAGACAAGCAGTTGGGTATCCCTTCTAACCAATGAGAGGGTAAGTGACACATGGGAGAAGGACAGGGAAGGAGAGCAGCTGGGTAGCTGTAAGTAGCCTCTCCTCACACTTGTCCCCAAGGTGGACCTCACTTATAAAGAGAAAGTCCTTTAGTTTCTTACAACACAGTTTGGTTATTATCTACTGTGACTCCACTCTGTCCCTTGAAGACTCCCTCACTCTCATCCTAACCTTTTCAGTTCTTTATATACAGACCTTTTCTTTAGGGGGGTTTCAGTAATAACAAAACTCATTACATATTTCTATATGTCTCAGCATCAGGACTGACTAGGATGGGTGGAGGAGCTTAAGGACGGATGAATGGATGGGTAGCTGGATGGATGGGAGGACCAATTCTTTCAACTTCTAGTTGGGGAAATAGTCCCTGGATGCAGCCCAGCCTGCCTACCTGGTATCAAGCCTTTTTTCATCTCTCCCTACAAAGTATACATTTCCTCTGAATTGATGATTGTTCTTGAACCTTGATAGGACTCTGGTCCCCATATCTGCCACTCAACTTTTGCTGCCTGGAATGTCATCTCAGCATAGCTGGTCTAGGCACCACATCATGTCACCAACTTGAGGTTGTAATAACACTTCCAGTGGTGAGTCTTCAGTCACTTCAGTGTTTGTTGTTGTTGTTGTTGTTATGTGCTGTGGAGTCGGTTCCAACTCATAGCGACTCTGTACAGGGTTTCCAAGGCTGTAAATCTTTACGGGAGCAGAACACCTCATCTTTTTCCCATGGAACAGCTGGTAGTTTTGAACTGCTGACCTTGTGGTTCACAGCCTGATTCGTAACCACTACACTACCAGAGCTCCTTCAGGGCAGAGACCAAGGACTCCAGGGGATTCAAACCATCTTTTCATCTACCTCCACTTCCTGACCTTCGTGGGAAGTCTGGTGAACATCTTTGGAAAGGCTGAAAAGCATGTTTTTTTGTTCACCCACTCGGCTCTGGCTCAGAATTCTTTAATAAAACCTTGCTGGAGGATTATTACTGCCCAGTGCTGATTTCCCATCTTCCCAGAGGCAGTAATTATTTTAAAACAGGAAATGCCTGGAAACTAGATGGTTGTTGAGGAGCTGGGGACTGGGATTTGGAATACATCTCATCTCTTAGGTCCGGGCAAGGGAGGTGAGGGAGATGGAGGGAGAACAGGATGTTTGGGAACACAGAGAGATGCTGACAAGAGTATTGCGGGTAGTGTGTGTGGTACGCAGGGCAGCTGGTTGGGTCAGTCTGGTTTCGACCCCCGGCTGAGAATATGCATTTCCAGCCCAGATATTTGGAATCAGAATCTACACTTCAACAAGGTACATACGAACCACCTAGGGGTTTACAGGCATCAAAGGTGGACTAAATGTGCAGATTCTCAGCAGACGGATGAACTGGAATGAACTGGCTCCAAGTCCTGGTGGAAGGAACCCTGGGCATAAGGAAGTTCACTGCAGAATGGCCAGATTTTTGTCTTCACTGGATTATTAGTCGCGTCTCGTACTGAGAGGAAGTATTGTCATATGTGAATCCCAGGCCTGGCACTTGCTGATTGTAAAGATTTGACAAATGTCTTAATCTCCCTGAGCTAAATGAGGGCAATTGCATAACCATGCAGGAAATGAATAATAAGCAAAAATGTGTGCAAACCATTTCGTACACAGTAGGTGCTCAGTAGATAGTGCACATTACTACTACTCTCCTTTCCTTGTTGCCCCTGCCTTTCTTCCATTAAGTCTTTAATGAAGGTTTCACGTAACCCTTGCATATACTAGATGATCGTGTACAGTGGTATCCATAGAGAAGGCAGTGGCCAAGGTAGCTCTGCCTTAGGTGACTGGGTCTTCTGTAGCGGACAGCAGGTCTGGGAGTGGCCACGTACTCCAGGGGCATGACAGCAGTATGCTTTGCCACATATGCGCAGACACATTAGCCAGGAAGGGCAGTACCTGCCTCAGCACAGCCTCTAGGACCAACCCATCTCTGGGGTTACCGTTTATTTAAGATACTGAGCAATGTATCAGACCCAAGAACTCAAAAGACAATACCACAATGCATGATTTAGTGACTATTAATCCAGGGTGGAGCCCTGGTGTGGCACTGTGTGTTAATGTGATGGACTGCAAAGTCAGTTTGAACCACCAGGTTGGTGGTTCAAGCTTACCAGCTGCTCCTTGGAAGCCCTACATGGGGTTGCTATGGGTTGGAATACATTCAACGACATTTAACAACAAAAACAACAATTCAAGGTGAACTAATCCAGATTCTACATGGACACACTGTAAATAACACCTAAGAAGCCCTAGGGGTACAGTGGTTAAAATGTTCAACTACTAACTGAAAGGTCAACAGTGTGAACCCAGCAGCCACTGTGCTGAACAAAGATGTGGCAGTCTGCTTCTGGAAAGATGCGCTGCCTTGGAACTTACTCTGCCCTATTGGGTTGCTATGAGCTGGAATTGACTCAGTGGCAATGGTTTTGGGTTTAGGCTTCTGGAAAAATACTAGCATTTTCAGGTAAGCAGCAATTTGGTACTTCAGTCTGGTCTCACTGGTTGGGTGTCTGGTTGCATTTGGCGGGAATGAGCAAGTCATCTACCACCCTTCCCCTGGGAGTAGGGAGTACCGTAAGAAGCGCTTTTCAAAGTGTGATCTGGACAGGCTCAGCCTGAAGTCCTGAGGGGATCAGTGCGAGCAGGGATGCTGGCAGCCTGTCCCAGAGGGTGCCAGAGCCGCATGCCAAAGCCAACACACAGGTCACCCAAGGAGCTCTCTGAGCACAGGGACACAGGGTCTGCCCTGCCTCCTCCCTCTTAAGCACTCCGCCACTGGCTGGAAGAGCAGCTCAGGCAACAACCTGCATGACCCTCAAGTTTACAGCACCACGACAGCCTTGCTGCAGACAAAATGACCTCACAAATACAAATCTCAACAGGCTACCTCAGACTAAAAATCCACCCAGTGATTCCCATGTCTTTCCTCCACCTTCAAGACCTTGTAAAATCTGGCCTAACCTCCTCTTCTCTTCCCTTCACTTTCTGCATTCCAGCCTTCCAGTGCCTGCCACGTGTCCTGCTGCTTCTTACTTGAAACCTTTTCTACCTAAACTATCTGTCCCACCTCCCTGTTCTCTCCAGGGAGAAAAGCTAACACCCACTTATTGGACATATCGCCAGTGAATGCATTCTCCTCTGGGAAGTCTATTTTTTACTTCACAGGAAGGACAAGGTCACTTTTATGGGCTCTCACAGTACCCTGTGGTTTGTGGTGGCATTTAAAACTGTAACTAAAAGGTTAATTGCATAATCCCTATTTCCTACTAGAATGATGGTTGTTAAGTGCCATGGAGTTGGTTTCATTTCATGGTGATCCTGTATGAGGTTTCTGAGGAGCAGTTGGTGGGTTTGAACCACCGACCTTGTGGTTAGTAGTCCAGTGCTGATCCTACAGTGCCTCACCAGGAAGGGCAAATGAATGATGAATAAGGACGAAGATATCTTTGATAAAATAGTTACAAGGAAAATTCTTTAACCAACATATTTTTAAAGATGCCACGGTAAACTGAATGGCAATATCTAGATATGTCTGGGGCATCTTTCATATTCTTAACTCCAGAGGCCAGCACTACTTCCTTACTTACCACAACCTTTGTTGTTGTGTACAGTTGAGTCAGCTCTCACTTAGTATAGTATTTCTGAGGCTGTAAATTTTTACAGGAGCATAAAGCCTCATCTTTCTCTCTCAGAGAAGCTGGTAGGTTTGAACCGCCAACCTTAAGGTTAGCAGTATAGGGGATAAGAAAAATGAGATGTATTTGAATGAGCAAAGAATCGGTGTTCCTTTTCTACTAAGTGTCTTGGAACTCTCACTCCTGAGTTGAATGTGCCTCCTCTTCCCCTTGTATCAGTGACTTTATCTTGATGTCTGCTCAAGAAGGCAACAAATTCACACCAGATTT